GGGGTCAGTAGGGGGCCCCATGAGATGCCCCTGGTACCTTTTTCATAGGCTTTTTTGAGTTTGGGCACAAGGACACAGGGGCCCCATGATCCCCTATTGCCCAGGGGCCCCATGAGTTGTCAGTCTGCCCCTGCTCACAACCGGCTTCTGTTAAACAGAAAAACCAGCATCCGATCAGCTCTGGCAGGCAATGGCTGCGAGCACTGATCAGTGTGTCCCAGTGGCGGGAGGTCCCTCTGTCAGAACACAATAACTCAGCGGGGAGATCATCACACTAAGATCGGATGTGTTTTTTTTTCATAAGGCCAGAAACTTTGAACGAAAAAAAATTCCTGTCTGTGCCCAGCATTAGTTAACACTAATTAGTCTGACTTTGCACTTACCTTTCCCCTTTCACACACTTTTTTTTACTGTAGGACTACCCCTACCACCTTTTAAGTGTGTCCAGCCCCATGCCAACCTCATGTCAAGACTGCAGCCAGCTACTCCTTAGATGCACCCACTGCCTCTAAGGCCTTCCTCCAAAAGCCCTAGAGCAGTTAGAAATTCCAGAGGTGTTGGCCTACAGAGCCTCTTAGCTCTGACCACAATTTTACCACTCTCTGGCTATTACATCTGGGTTGCTGCTCAGCCCCTGTCTAGCCATTGGAGTCTAGCTCCCCCTAGCTAAACTAAGAGGCTGCTACATTACAAAATCTCTTAATGTGGTTCTAAAGTCTAGGTGTTTTTTAATGCATTAAGGTGAAAATCACCCCACTAATTACCCCCCTCCCCCAACACTTACCTGACATTTCTCATGATCCAGCACTGTCCCGACCAGCAGCTCCGCTCTCCTCAATTCCTGGAGTCCTGGGCTACACTGAGAGCCATAGGCTCCTGCTGCTGTCAGTCAAATCCTGTGAAGAGGGAGCGGGGGAATGCCCAAGCCAGGACGTGTGTGTCTATGGACACACACAGCTCAGCTGAGGAGTGTGCACACATGGGTGCCTCCAGGGCACATGGATGGCTATGAAGCACTCAGAAGAAAGAACAGCGCCAGCAGGGGACCACTAAAAAAGACGTAAGGGACCTCTCTGTACAATATTGTTGCACAGAGCAGATAAAAATATCATATTTTTTATCTCAATTTAAAAAAAAAAACTTTGACTTTAATACTTTAATTTCATGTGCAGAACTGTTCCTTTTGCTTTTTATATTTAGAGTTTACAGGTGTCAATCCCTAACAACAAAGTGAAATTTCACCTGTATCTTGCATGACGCACCGCTTCATTTTATTGCCTTTTTTATTATGATTTAATTGCTTCCTCCAGTTAGTTGTGAAGATTCCTGAAGATATCATTTGTTTATCTGGATTGACAGGGATTACTACATCGTGCTATTATTTGTGACCTCATATATACAACATCATGTCCACTAGATGAGGTGTCTTAAGAGTTTCCAGGGTGGTGGCAGTTTTTAAATGGTTCACGTTACTATAATTTTTCATTAGTATCATTAGTTAGAGAGAAAACGGAATTCATTATGCATGTTTTTTCCCAGCAGGAGCTAATTGAATCATGCTTTGCTGGGGTTTTTTTGCCTTCCTCTGGATCAACTGTGGGTATAGGACTATAACTTTTTTTTTATGGTTGAACTGGATGGACTTTTGTCTTTTTTCAGCCAGACTAACTATGTAACTATGTTTAAGAGACGGCTTTAGGCATAATGGGGCCCTGGACAAGGTAGAAGCTCACCCCCAAGTCCCCCAATCATCAATTAAAATTGATAAGGACTGCAACAAGAACAGATAAACAGTCCCATTTGCACTGTCTGTACTGGCATGGCACTTCCATAAAAAACACCAACTACTTACAAATGCATCCTCTTATGTGAACCCCCTGCTTTACTCCAGGAATGTAAAGGTTGCAGCTGGACCCCTGGACATCCACTAAAACTGGTCATAGGATGAAAATTCGGCCAGTTCAGCAGGGACTGGACATATTTTGATCCATCTATGGCTGTTCTTGTTCAAGAGGAGTCAACCTAGTGGTCAACTCCTCTCAAATGGGATTGTTGGAAAATTTGTGTTCAATCAGCACATGTAGCCAATTGGCTGCGGTGCTGATCAGTGCATTCTGGCAGCAGAGAAGTCCCACCATCAGAATACAGAATAATAGCGCAGCAGGGGAGGATTCCCACATCCACCTCAAATGTGTGAAAGGAGGAATCTGATCTTTTTTTTTTTTTTTGATCAGCCAGACGGCTGATCAATAAAAAAAACAAATCATCTATGGGCCATTTTATGTCCTAGGCTTATGCCAAGATTGCCCTGTGGATGATCTGATTCTGGACATGTATAATTCAAATAAAACCAAAACTTAATGCAATAAAACAAGTGGAGAACAGGGCTGTAACTATGTGTAATAGGGTCCCAAAGTGAAACCATTCATGCCCCCCCTGTTTCTCTAATCTCCATCTCTAGGGTAATTAAAGTATTAATGATACACAGGTTTTTAATGTTTACTTACCTAGACCCACGATCACATGAAGTTCCATCCCAGAGTCTCCTCTTCTGCTTACATTCCCAATCGATCAGTGCCTCTGGCAATATCTGGCAGAACTGATCATTGTATTCTGGTGGTGGGGACGGCTCCCTGGCAGTGGCATAGCGGGTGGATTCCCCTGTCCATCTCAAATGTGTGAATAGGGGAATTGGATCATTTTCTACCAGCAGGTTAAACGAAAAAAGATGAATGTATGGACTGCCTTAGAGCAGTGGTTCTCAACCTATGGGTCGCGACCCCTTTGGGGGTTGAACGACCCTTCACAGGGGTTGCCTAAGACCATCAGAAAACACATATTTCCGATGTGTAAAGAGCAGCTACTGTGTAGAAAGCAGCTGCTGTGTTGAAAGCAGCTACTCTGTTAAAAGCAGCTATTGTGTTGAAAGCAACAGTATTGGAGGTAAAACGACACTCATGAATTATAATTACTGGGTAAATAATTTTATGGTTGGGGAACACCACAACATGAGGAACTGTATTAAAGGGTCACGGCATTAGGAAGGTTGAGAACCACTGCCTTAGAGCTTGTTTACTATTGCAGTTGGAGGGAGTCAAACACACTTGGTCAAGCAGCATGACCAACAGCCCCCCATAAGCAGCAAATGGGAATGTTCATATATTGCCATTGAAGTTCTTTGCTTTCTGTCTGCGGCAAAAACTATCACTTCTGTGGTGGTTGGTGGGCAGTACTGCTGCCGAACACAATATATTTACTGAATATGTCCTTTTGAGGCTTGGTGTGGCATTTACGGTGCGTAAAGCAGGTGGTAAGGAGCCAGCATATCGCCTTCTCGTTGCCTGTCAAAAGTCTTTGAAAAACAATACAAAGATAGAACACTTTTCTTGATTCTTGATTAGGCAATTTGGATGCAAGTGGTTGTAATCCCTAAGGCTGGCCATACACTATACAATTTTCTGTCCAATTTCTGCCCAATTTCCTTTAGGTTTACCTTCAACTTGACACTCCACGAGGTGAGATCTTGCATGGTGCCACCAGACCTAGGGAGACTTTCCTTTAGATTTACCTTCAACTATGTAGTGCAAGGGCCTGCCTAATTGGATATAAGTGAAAGTGTTGTTTAGGTTTGACCTCATATTATATGGTTTTTGGTAAATCTTAAGCAAAATTCTCAAGAAAATTATATAATGTATGGCCAGCCTTACATTTAACCAGTGAAGTGACTGGCCTCAGGTGATACACAGAGATGAAACAAATCATTAAAGTGTTCAATGTGTTGAATTTACAAAGCTTGTCTAAGAGCTCAGAAAAAAGGGGATGGAGAGCTACACTCTTCAGAGCTCAGTGAGGAGAGTCTTGAGAACTGATTGGAGGGAAAAGACACCACCCCTCCACACAGCCCACAGGAACAGAGCTGAAGCTGTCAATCTGCTGGAGGTCCCTCCCCTGTCACCATTTTTTTCTTTGTGTCAGGAAAATTTGTCAGAAGTGATGCATGCTGATACCAGAGGAATGAAGCAGCACATAGAAATGACACTTAGTGCTCTTAATTGAGACAAGTACACACTATAGAGGGATATGCATTGTTCATATTTCATGTATGAGGTTTACAACCACTTTAAAGGATAAGTTCACCTTTGGAACATGTTGCATGTTCCACCCGTTTTTAGGGTGGAACATGTAACATGCTCCCATAGCTGCAGCTGCCGCCCCTCACTCTGACAGATAGTACGGGGAAACTTCTCCCCATATTATCTGTCAAATTTGAAATCGGCGTGGCCTTGTGGGGCTCCGCCCACACGGCCACACCATTCATTCACAGACCTCCATGAATGAATGAACTGCAAGTCCCGACAGGCTTAGCGCCTATGGGCTTGTAGTTTTCAATGAACTGCCACGGCACTGTGTTAGCCCCGTGGTAGTTCATTGAAGCTTCCTCTCAGAATATCTGCTTGGCCATACATCCCATACGGCAAGCAGATATTCTGACAGGTCTGCAGGAGACCTGCATGGCATCAGCGATCTACTGATTACTGGTGCAATGCTTTCCAGGCTCCTTTGGACAAAAGTAATAAATATACATTTTTTTACCTGCAAAAAAAAAAATATTATTTTTGTCCAAAAGGTGAACTTATCCTTTAAGCTTAGCCTAAAAGTGTTACTAAACCCACAACAGTAAAATCAGTCTGTATATGCAGTAAAGCATGCTTGTTATACTCACTGTGGAACCTAAGGGGTTAATCCTCTGCATTGTGTAAAAAGGCTGTTTGCTTCTGTCTTCTCTGATCCTCCCCTTCTTCTACTGTCACCAATCCATCTACTGATAAAACAGAGCCTTGGGGCCAAGCTGCACATGCTCAGTTTGGTGTGTATTACTAGAGTTTTATTTTTTCTTTGGAGGGTGCATGTGATCAGCACTGTCCAAACAGAGGATCAGGGGTCTTGCAGCCTCATAGGACAATCAGGGGAGAATGAAAACTCCTCCTACAAGCTTTAACCAGTGCTCTGCTGGACACTGATAGAAGTCACAAGCAGGGGCGGCCTGACCATTTGGAAACTCGGGAGCTGCCCGAGGGCCCGGGGTCAGTAGGGGACCCCATGAGATGCCCCTGATACCTTTTTCATAGGCTTTTTTGAGTTTGGGCAAGGACACAGGGGCCCCATGATCCCCTATTGCCCGGGGGCCCATGAGTTGTCAGTCCGCCCCTGGTCACAAGACTGCTATATAATGCTGATGATAAAAGGTATTTAGCAGTTTATATTTACTAAAATAATTGCATTTCCATGTTCTGTATACTGTGGGAGACCAGATATAGTGAATGCAGGGTCCTGGGTTTAGAAACACTTTACGTCCACACAAATGCAATCTATTCCCCAGTTTTTGGTCAAATATAAAAAGTGAAGTTGTGTTGTGTAAATAGACACTCAACTGTGAAACAGTAACACACTTCTGTATTAAAATTTCCCTGTTCTACATATTGTGGGAGACCAGATATAGTGAATGCAGGGTCCTGGGTTTAGTAACACTTTAACTGCTATGGATGACATTCTGTGACAGGAAGAAAAACATGACTTTTCCCCCCATACATAAAAAAAGAATTTTGCTTTGCTTGCTTGCTTCATGTCTTTTTACTTTTTTAGCTTACCATATTTACTTGTAAAGCAATGTGCTATGCATTTTTTTTTAACAACAGCATGGTCGCAGTCAAGTCTTCCGCTGCTTTTTAAATGGGCCCCTTTATGTCACCGTGGTTGAGTCTACACTTCTCACTTCACTCAGCATGGGTCATTTAGCTGTTTTCTTTAGCAGATTTCACAATTCACAGGGTAATTGCTGTCTGTGATGTCAGGGAAGGAATTAATTGTGCAAACATACATAGGACTTACTCACCCCCCAATAATTTGGATTCATTTGGTAAGCTCTGTGAGGCAGGACCCCTTCCTAACATTTCTTAGATGACTTCACATTTCCTGTAACTCTATATATGTATTTCACCCCCAGTGTATTTTCTGTATCTTCTGTACACCGCTGCGTGCTTCGCATCGTGCCCCTATAAGTGAAAACACACCAACATCTACAGTATCAGCACCTCAGGGCTGCAAGGCAAAGCTTCTGGTTATTCAGAGTTCAGAGATGTGTAATATACTAGAAAAGTTAGACTTGTACTCTTCTCTTGACTAATGGAAAGTTTCAACAGTGATGACTATGTTGTATGTCGTAAAAGAAAAAACAAAACAACTTAATAAACGTCTGGTCTGCTTATGTAATAACTATGATATTACAGATGGTTGCTTGGTCACCAGTATGTCAGCGTGCGCACCCACCCATTTGGGGTCCAAGGCTCAGAATGACTCAAGCCTTTCCTGAATTACAATCGGGCAGAAAAATCTTCTCTTTACAGGGCAGGAGGGGATCAACTTATTACTGCAGCTGTGAATGTTCATTTTCAAATTTCTGGAGCTTTGAGATAAACGTTTGCTGAACAAAACTCAGCTGCTCTGACATGCATTAAATATTTTGAAGATTTTTTTTTTTTGGGTAACGTTTGTCTGTTGGGACCTGTTCTACATTCATTGCTTTACTCAATAAATGATTCTATTAAAAACAAAGCCCGGGACAGCACTCGGCTGCCTTGTGGTCAAGATCAAGGGAGGCATTTTTATTTTTACTGTATAATTATTCGTTCTCTCCCAGGAGGAGTTAGAGATTGTGGGCCTCCCTTCAGGTTCTTAGTCTTGACCATCATATGATATAACACAAGTTCCAGCAACGTCGATTGGCTCAGGAGATAACCAATTATAAGCCAGCGTCAATCATTCATAAGCAACAGATAATTACACGGAACCCACAAGAGAACCAGTTAAATCAGAGATATGGAGGAAACGACAGCCAAGGCAGTAAAATGGGTGGCTGGGGGTAAGTGTTATTCTTTTTTTTAACTATTTTATTACTTCTTTCACTAGATGACTATATATATATATATATATATATATATATATATATATATATATATATGACACTTTATTTGTATAAAGTCACTCTATCACTGGGTATTACTATACTCTATATCATTAGCATCGAACTCCAGGTTGTCAGTCTTAATCTCCTAGAACAGGTATGTGTGTCAGAGGCAATTAGGTTGATTCATTAAAGTCAAATAGACTGTTCACTTTGCAAGGGAGGTTGCACTTTGCAAAAGTGTTTTCCCCAGAGATAGGTGAATGAGGTGAAGCTCTGTTTACTTCCAGAATCAAATCACGTGCAAGAAAAATGCTGTTTTTTTTACTTTTTCTTGCACACAATTAGGTATTCTTTGCAAAGTAAAATTTCACCAATTTAACTAAGTTCTGGGAAAAATGCTAATACAAAGTGAAACCTCTATTGCGAAGAAAACAGTCTAATTGTCTTTTTATTATTTCAGATTTTATTTTAAAGTTTTCAGAACAAGTATATAGAAAAAAAGAGAGTGAGTCTAATTGGCTTTAGTAAATCAACCCCAATGACTCACTTAGTAATGGCCAGCACAGTGGCTAAATGGTTAGCACTTCTGCCTGGCAGTACTAGAGTTCTTGCTTCAAATCCCAGCCATGGCACCACCTGCCTGGAGTCTAATTGGCTTTAGTAAATCAAACCCATTGACTCATTTAGTAATGGGCAGCACAGTGGCTAAATGGTTAGCATTTCTGCCTGGCAGTACTAGAGTTCTTGGTTCGAATCCCAGCCATGGCACCACCTGCCTAGAGTCTAATTGGCTTTAGTAAATCAAACCCATTGACTTATTTAGTAATGGGCAGCACAGTCGCTAAATGGTTAGCACTTATGCCTGGCAGCACTAGTTGTTGGTTCAAATTCAAGCCATGGAACCACCTGCCTGGAGTTTGCATGTTCTCCCTGTGCCTGTGTGGGTTTCCTATGGGTACTCTGGTTTCCTCCCAAAGATATGTTGGTAGGTTAATTGGCTCCTGTCTAAACTGGCCCTAGTATGTGTATGTATGAATGTAAGTTAGGGACCTTAGATTGTACACCCCTTGAGGGTTAGGGACTGATGTGAATGTACAATATATACATGTAAAGTGCTATGTAAATTGACAGCACTAAATAAGTACCTGTAATAAATAATAATGAGCAAAGGTACTAACATCTCAGGAACCTGCACCATCAAAAAAGAGTCAGTATTGGCAGCTCCCATATTTCTGTCTTGAAAAATTCCCTTCTAGCTACTGAACATGACAAGGTGTATAACACACACATACCTTCATTTTGCACTTTATAACTTATGACAACATTTCTAAAAATCACTTTTATATTATTATATATGATATTTACTCCAGATAGTAGAAAGTATGAAAAGGTCGAGGGCAAGCAGGAAGGGAAAGAGGTTCAATACTTTATTGAGCCTATTCTGGGTTGCTGGAGGAGGTCTACCGGTGAGTCTGTACAATGTCATCATTGTTGCACTTTTAGACGATATAGTTGAAAACTGTCACTGTAAATAGCTAGCATATTTCTTGTAATTTATGGACCGATTTGAAAACTTTGGTTTACAGATCTTGAGCAGATGATGCAAGGGGCTGTAGTTATTGTTGTTTGCTGGCATAATTACTTGTTGAAGCAGTATTAAACCCAAAAACAAGCATTTAATATATTGCAGCTTACCATGCTTAGCTGTGGTAGCTGTATTCATTTTCTTAGTTTAGGTCAGGGGTGCTCAACCTTTTGAACAGTGAGGGCCACTTGAGTGATTTGATAACTGGTCCTGGGCCACAATCAAATGAAATGGTTCATAATTTAGATTTAGTTTTACTTAGAATAGCATGATGACCAAGAGAAGACTGCTTTCAGTGGTTGCAGGAGGAAAATGGAGAGGATCAGTTCCTGTATATGCTGCCCCCACAGCCCCTCCTGTCCATGTGTAAAACAGGATTTGACATGGAGGCCGCATGGGCCCCTTGGAGAATGGGGCAGGGTCACCATTGTGACCTCTGACGCAACACCAGTGGCTTGGGGGTACAAACATGTGTCATCTATGATGTTTTACCTCTCTCCAAACTGCAAATGTAAATGAATCTCTACTGTCCTGAGCCCCCTAGAAGGCTGCTTCCACACTGATGTGCTGTGGTTTGCACCTGTGGCTTTTTCTGGCTTTAGCTGTGCTTTGCCATGGACTTTTATTATATCTTGTGTTTTGGTGCACTTTCAGAAAGTGCATCTCATTCACAATATATAATAGAAATCCATGGCAAAGCACAGCTAAAGCCGGAAAACCACAGATGCAAACCACAGCACATCAGTGTGGAAGCAGCCTTCCAGGGGGTTCAGGACAGTAGAGGTTCATTTACATTTGCAGTTTGGAGGGAGGTAAAACCCCATAGATGACACATGTTTGTACCCCCAAACCACTCAGAAGTTTTGGTGCACTTTCATAAAGCACACCAAACCTGCAGGATAACATAGAAGTGCGCTTCCCCAATTTGAGGTGGAGGGCCACATCAAAGGGCTCAGAGGACACAGGTTGAGCCCCCCTGGTTTAGGATTTTCTTTCCTTCATTTTTATCTGGTGATCCAGCCAGTAACACACTTCCTTTCTTAGAGTGTCTCCATCTATTATGGAGCAACTCAGACACCCATTGTCAATCCTGTTATTTATTTATTTCAGGTACTTCTATAGCGCCCTCAATTTACACAGCACTTTACATATATATTGTACATTCACATCAGTCCCTAACCCTCAGAGAGTATACAATCTGAGGTCCCTAACTCACATTCATATACAAGGGCCAATTTAGACAGGATCCAACTAACCTACCAGCATGTCTTTGGAGTGTGGGAGGAAACCAGAGTACCTGGAGGAAACCCACGCAGGCACAGGGAGAACATGCAAACTCCAAGCAGGAGGTGCCGTGGCTGGGATTCGAACCAACAACCCTAGTACTGCCAGGCAGAAGTGCTAACTATTTAGCCACTGTGCTGCCCCAGATGTACTAGCAGCTTTACATAGACTTGTCTAACAAATTAAAGCCTAATTCCAGCTAACACTTTTTAAGCATCTACAGCACGGGTGTCAAACTAGCGGCCCTCCAGCTGTTGCCAAACTACAAG